ATATATTTATCTTATATATATTATGATATTGTCCAGTCTCTGTGAATTACTGGTGCCAGTTCAGTTCTGGCATGTAACAGTGCTGTTACCAAAGTTACTTTCTGTTGTCTTTTATTTTTCCAACCTTCTCTTGGTAATTTTGGCAAAGTTTTCTCAATAAAAGAACAACTCTTCTAGGTCATGTCTTGGGTTTCCCCACAATTAGGAGCAGAACTAGGCCACTGGGGCAGGTCCTTTGTGTGAACGCAGCTGCTCGTGCCATGGGCAAATCGTCTCAGAAGTTTCTTTCCCACAAGACTTGGTGACACGCAGAGGTAGTGCTGGGGCGTGAGGCAGCGTTTTGGTTTGTTTTCCCCTCTTGTCGTCTGTTTATTTGCTTTGCGACCAACAAGTCCGCCTCTTTTTCCTTCTGCTGATGCTGTGCGTTAGTGTGAAAACCGGATGGGGCAAAGTACCCGGCGGGTGGGAGGAGGTGTGTGCGGTGGGAAAGTGGGGCTGGGAAAAAGGTCTGGGACTCGCATAACCTTTCTTAGGTGTCTTTCCATCGCAAGAATTGTTTGTTGTAAAGGTGTGATTTTTTTTTTTTTTTCCCCCTACCAAAAGTGGTTTGCGGTGGATTTGACCTGATGCTCTCGTTCTTTCCGCAGTGGGGAAGCCTCACAAGTGCAACTACTGTGGCCGGAGCTACAAGCAGCGCAGTTCACTGGAGGAGCACAAGGAACGCTGCCACAACTATCTGCAGAATGTCAGTATGGAGGCTGCCGGGCAGGTCATGAGTCACCATGGTGGGTGGAAACTGCCTTTTTTGTTTGAGGTCTCTTGGTCTTGGAGCATCTCTTGCGGGTTTTTTCCATCTGTTTTTCTTCCTTCCGTTCGGCTTTGCATGGCTTCCATCCTGTAGTTTGCTTATACTCAGGTAGGCAGGAGGAGAGGAGATGGGTTAAAATTCTCACTCTGTCCAACTTAACAGAATTGATTTAAAAGATTTTTTTTTTAATTAATTTTATTTATTTTTAAGTCAGTATTTCACTTTTTGGTGTGTATAAATATGCAGATGTGAAAATGGAGTGAAGTCACTTGTCCGAAGTTACCCTGAAAGTGATCTAAGCCACATATATAAAAGAATGCTTCCACTCCCATTCCTTTCTGATAGTGACTGATAATTATAAGAAATAAAGGTGATGGAGGTATTTGCAAGTCATTATTTCTACTCTCTGTAAAATTATATCCAAAAAAAAAGAAAGATAGGATAGCTACAAAAATCTCCAGAGCAGAATGGAATTCAACAGTGTTGATGAAAGTAATTATAAGCAAAAAAAATAAATGTTTATATGCATTTACATGTGGTAGTATTAATATGTTAACTAACACTGCATGTGTTAATATACATAAAGACTGAAGATTGCCAAAAAGCTTGTTAAAAGCAAGAAATGTCAAGCTCCATGAATTTGTTTTCAAAAATTTCTGTAGCTATTAGTATGGATAATGAGCATAATGTCTCAGACTGCAGGGTTGTAGGCTCTTCTGTAGCAGTAAATGCTAAATGGTAGCTGTCCAAAACTTATTACAGTTTCATTCAGAATTAGAATTTTGGAAACTCTTCTAGAACTGAACATATTTTAACTTTTAAAAGTTGTCTTTAGATGTTTGGTATTCAAAGTATTTAAAATTTGTTAGTAAGTGGAAAATATAAAAATGATACATTTTTCATTTTGATTAAAAATTACCATATACCTAAGACTACCAAAAAGTTAGATTGTACATGAATGAAAACGGGAAGGGATTTTTCCTCTTTTTTTCCATTTTGCTTTTCATTGTTGAATGGAGTCATATGGCTTCAGTTGGAAATTAATTATGTAAAAGTTCTGAAAGGTCATTTCTAAAAACTCTAAATATACAGGCCGAGATAAAATCTATTTAGTATTTCTAATATGGGCTAATATTTGATGGAAAAAAAAAATCACAAAAAAATTTTCAAGAGTCTTTTTCCATGAACAATTTAATCCTATAAAGGCATTCTAAATGTATTTAATGTATTACATCTAAATGTATTGCCAAAACCTTCATACAGCTCTAGTAAGCCATTACCATCTTTGTAGACATCCTGGAGAATAAAATAAACATTAAAATGTAATGGATGCCTTTAAAGACATTAAAGTTAGTGCTTATCTGCTTTAGGCCTGACTTTATGCTTGTAGAAGTCAGTGGAAAGACTGTTTTCAGGGCTTTGCTATTTGTGGGTACCTGTTGTGTGCTTGGTCTGTTAGATGAAGCACTTAGCTTATAGTAGGATTTTAACCGTTGACTCCATTCCCAACAAAATACACGCTCTTTACTTGACCAGGGTGTGCCTGGCTTATTAACCGGCGGGGCAGTGATTTCAGCAGCCTTTCCTTAGGGAAATAATAGTGGGCTGATGTAGTCATGACAGCCAGGATGTTCAGAGGTCATGTTGTGGAGAATCTTCCCAACTTGCACTCAACTTCTGGGTTTATTATTCAGTTCTGTAGTAAAATTGAGCTCACTCTTGATGACTGTGTACTTCTGAGGAAATATAAAGCTTTTTTAAAGCTGCTAAATTCTATGACAAGAAGGATAAGTCGTGAGCCTTGCCTGTCCAAAGAAGCTGGAATGGTTGACCTTGTATTGATTTTCCTACCAACTGAAGTTAAACCAGTGCAAGCCCCAAGTGGACAGTTCTTTTATTTACAGCCTGACTGACTTTGCTGGGGCTTCAAAATAGAAATGTTCCCACAACCACTCCACTTTTCTCAACAAAATTAGCTTAAAACAGCACTTTGAATTCAACTAGTGCCTCTTTTTCCTCTGGGCAAATATGTCTAAATCTCCCCTGGTGAATGTTTAAGGGGGATGTTTGATCCACTGTCTTCATTTAGCTATTTAGCAAGGGCACAGAGAGGACAGGCAGCGACAGGGAGCTCCAAATTCAGCTGGGACCAGGAGTAAATCTCACCTTACCATACTAGCATCACTTCCACCCGTGAAGCTCAGTATGGGATTGAAAGTCATGAGCACCAGCTTGTAGAGGTCTGCAGCAAAGTCCTTTCTCATGGGACTATAAAGACACCAGGGAAGAATTATCCAAATGATTACTCAGCTTAAAGTTAGGTCTTAGTCTAAGCCTGAAAAGTGCATTATTTTCTTTATACCAGCTGTCCAGTACCTGAGAGGGCCTACAGGAAAGCTGGGGAGGGACTATTTACAAGGGTGTGTAGCGATAAGATGAGGGACAATGGTTTTAAACTAGAGCAGGGTAGATTTAGATCAGATGTTAGGAAGATGTTCCTTATAGCGATGGTGATGAAACACTGGCACAGGTTGCCCAGAGAGGTGGTGGAGGCCCTGTCCCTGGAGACATTCAAGGCCAGGCTTGATGGGGCTCTGAGCAACCTGATCTAGTTAAAGCTGTCCCTGCTCACTGCAGGAAGGCTGGACTAGAAGACCTTTAAAGGTCCCTTCTAACCCAGGACATTCTATATTCCATCTCTTCCATGTCAAAGAGAGAAAGGATGTTCCTGAGGATGGGTGAGTGCTTGCTTTGGAGATTTGATCACTGGTTTATTTTGCATCACAGTGGGTTTAAGTTTTCCTGACTCTTTCCAAATGCTTACGTATTTTGTTCTTGCTGGGTGTTTTGAATCCTCTGAATGCATTTTGGTGTGTCTCCTGGTCACAACTTCACCGTTATGCTCAGAATAGGTAGAGGTGGGGATTTTCTTATCCCTACCAGCATCCTCCTTTAAGGACGCCTGTGGCTGTGCTGGGTCTCAACCGATATGGCCAACATTTAACCTCAGTCTAAACTATTTCTGCAGGGGTGAATTGTGCTGGAAGACTAGAGGCAGTCCTTAGAGAGTTTGGATTTTTTTTCAAGCATTGTTCTCAAGTTGATCAGTTCACAGGTGTGATACAGACATCTGCCCATGTGCTTTTTCATGGTCGTCTGATGAGGCCTTTAATTTCAATTATCTTTGTTTTGCAGATGACTAGACCACCTGACTAAAGCCACAAGGGGAAGTGAGAGGAGGGGAAGGAGGGCTAGTTCTGGTGTGTGGGTAGGAGTGAGTCGCTGGGTCTCTCTCCATCCTCTTGAAGGGTGCTGGTTGCTTGCTGAGCTGGCCCTCCTCATGGCCACAGGTCCTGTTCCCTGCTCGGCACGAGGGCTACTGTAGGAGAGCTCTCACGACTTTTGTCAGCAGCAACTTTTGGCTAAGCAGTGCTGGCCTCAGAGGTTGATATTAGTCTGTGGTCTCCTAGCTAGTGGTGTGGTGGGGGTGACAAAAGTGACAGTCTCTGAATGCCAAGAACATGACCTTTGCAGGAACAAACAGGTAGAAATGTTGAAGGCTAGCTATGTCTTGCACTTGGCTACATGTTTTTTTTCCATCTCCACAAAGCAGAAAGTCCAGGAAAATTCTTAAAGTGGAGAGAGGAAGGACACTCTCCTTAGGAGAAGGAGAAAGAAGCCTAGCCCTAGGCTGTGCGAGACTCAAAGACCAGCTCCACATAAAACATACGATGATCTTGTGTCCTTCTCTCATACACAGTTGCTTAGAACATTGTTAAAACACTGGTCCCACAGGAGACTTCACACCAGGGTCCATGGGAATATTTCCTGTCATTTCTCTGCACACTTGTACGTTTTTAAAACAGCAATATTGTGAGCGTAGTAAAGGAAATTGAGGTTGATGGAGTAATACTAATTTATACCAGCTGAGACTTAGCCCAGTGTCTGTTGTCTGCACGCAAAAGTATTTATCAGCAAACCACATACTGGTAATTTTTTTACTTCATTTTTTTCCCCCTATTCTTTAGCCCCTGGAACAACATAAACTTTTTTTTATATTATCTGTAATATCTTACAAATTAAGAATCAAAAATTAATAGCTAGCCACTTCAAGCACTATGATTGAAAGATGAATGTCTTCAGGAAAATAAAGACTTTGTTCTGAAGACCATCCGGGTTTGTATATTGTTTATTGTTTATTGTATATTGTATATTGTTTGCATATAATCTAAGTTTAAACTTAGAAAAAACACCTAGTGTTAACTGCAGGTGAGAACATTAACAGTGTCAGAGATGGTGAATGTTTGCATGGGCAGTCCATGAGCACACCCTAATCACCGATTAAAAACCTCCCTGAACAGAAACATACTGAAGGGTGGTCTTTCCATGGGTCTAGATGCTTGACTTTTAGCATAAGAAAAGCCTTCCTGAGCTGAGAGCACAAAATTAATTTCTGTATCAAAGCTAGTTATAATGTATCAGCTGTTCTTTGGTAGCTCCCACTATCAAGGGAATGAAGTAGGATGAAACACAACAAAAAAAGAATCGCATTTACCACAGAGTAAATGTGCACAAGAGCTGCTACCATAGAGCAACTGATTTGTGATAACTGTTGGTTATGTGTGATCCGTTTGGTTTGAAATGAAAATTATGTATCTAGAATTGACAGTGCAATCTTTACCTTAACTCTTTGGGTTTCTAAAATACATCATCTCACCTGTTTGGTCCCATTTTGCATACAATTTAAATAGTTTCAGAAACTAGACAATTTCTATCTGTGCCTTCTTCCAGGAAATCTACATAACAAAACACATTCCAGTAACTTAGTCCCATTGTAACAGAAATATTGGTGTGATTCAGTGATTCTGTTGCAGAAGGGCCGTGCTCTGAATTATAGAGCTGAGTTCTGACGTGGGACAAAAATCCTGCAGCATGAAAGATAAAGAAAATGCTCTTTTTGGTGATGATTTTACTTTTTATTTATAAAGAGTCCTAGCAGAATTTTTGCCTGACTTAGAGAAGAGCAGATGTCTTTTTTAGCACTATTCATTTTTTTGTGGAAAAAAAGATTTCAAATTCTGTGTAGGAAATTTTACACACATATGCCCAGCAGCAGAATTATTTAATTATCACTTAATTGTTATGAGACATACAGATGTCACCGCATTTGGGGCTTAATCAGATAGCTATGAAAGCAATCAGAAGGTTTTCAACTCATGGGCAAGTACACTCCTACAAAGCCCACATGCCTTTAGTGTTTCTTCCTAGGAGGGGTTTAGAGCCCTCTGCACCTCCCTAGGTCCCCACCACTGGCCTCGTGAGTTTTGTACGCCAAGGGCTGGAAATTTTTGAAGTGACATTTACATGTGAACCTGGCCCAGCTGAGCAAGGAGCCAGGATTTCGTGCGGAGTGCGCATGCGTGTGCACATATATGCTGATTTTTGCTGAACCAAAAGGACGGTCAGATGCAAGTTCCCAGTGAAAATCGACAGGCATAATCTCTCCTTTCTTCCAAAATCTTCTTGGTAAATACTTGAGTAGAACTAATGCAGATATCTCCTGACCAAGCACAGTATTTAAATAACCTTAAAAATTTAGCCTTAGCTATTAAAGTATTCCAGACCTCCTATTCTACACTGGGCATTAATTAAGTCACTCGAACACTGCATCCCATTTTGTTGCAACATTAGATTCATTTCATATTTGTGCTGCTTTTTGCTTTCTTTCACTGATGCCAGCAGGACTGCCTGGTAAATGATAAACCATTGTGTTTCTCAGGGGGAGCATCCTGTACAAATACAGAGTAAATTTACGGAGTAAATCATTTTATAGCATATGGTAGGTTCTGAGCCTCCAAGTACTCTGCTTTCTGTGGCAGCAGAAGCACAAATGGAATCAAATGAATAAATTGCCGTGTTTTCTTATTATGAATGTCTGAATTGAGAAGTTCACCTGAGCTGATACTGTTTTGTAATTGCCTGGTATTTGCTCTTCCTTATGAGAAAGAAGGTAGAGACAAGGCTTTTATCACCCCATTTTTCATATATTATGTGCTAGCGAACAGCTGCACGTTTCATAACAGGGGAGTGATTACTCCATATTAGGATTCTGAAGGTAGAAAAGTTACACGAGAGGAAAGAAAGCTGGTGGTGTTCATTATGACACAGTCTCAGGGAGTCTGTGACATGAAACACTGCTGTGGTGAGAGACCAAAGGAGGGCTAGCAGAAAACATGCTTCCTTCTCTTGCTACCTCTACAATATCACTGATGATCTCACTGAAAGTTTTACCTAATACTGAGGATGCAATGGGTTGCTCACAGGTTACAAACTGTAGGAAATCTGTACAATATCATTCCAGTTTCTAGTTCTCTGCCATCCATTCTTCTCCTCAAATAATTTTTTACATCTCAACCATTCCATTAGCATGTGGACTAGTGGCTGATCCTTCAACTTTCACCTGCTACCTTCTGAAGATGAATGCAGGACAGTTAGGCCATATATTAAATTTATGACAGCAGAGCAGAGCTACACGTGGGATCGTGCTTGGCACATACCACCAACGATTTGGACTCTCTGGGCCTGATCTGCAACATTGTACCACTGACCCTTCTTGGTGTTTATAAGAGGCTGCTCACCAAAAGCAGAGTACTTCATAGGTATTTAGTGAGTAGCCATGTCAACAAGTGACATAAAACCTCATGTGAAATGGTCACTACCCTGGTTGGAAGCCTCTACAGTTCCCATACTTCTTTGGCTCTAGCGCCTTATTCCCTAACCCAACAAGTAACGAGGAGTGAAATGAGGCAGAAGGGATTGTTGATTTGGTCTTGTTGTCTCAAAGACAGAGCACTCCCTGACAATCCCTGAAAGTGGGAAGAGAGATGCAGAAGACTTGCCTTCACAGCTTCTTAGCTCTGTGCTTGAAGGGATAAAATATTAATCAAAAAATTGATAGTTTCTGCAACTGATTCTGAAGGGAATTTCCATACAATGTTAATCCTGTAATTCCAGTACAGTAGTGTTTGTTGATTTTACAGTCTTGTGTACAGAGAGAGGAAACACACTTTAGCAAACAGATCCTTCATTTGGGAAGCCTCTGTCTTGGGAAACGCGCAGCCAGGCCGAGGGAGCAGAAGTCATCGATACCTTCTATGTTTTCTAGTCACTGAGATTAGCACAAAAAGTAAATAAGAATGATAAGCATGCCATATGATAAGTGTGAAGTTAAGGGAATGCATGGAGAATGCTCAGTTACATTGGCAACTGGTGACCGAAGGGAGAATAACAGACAGTGTCATCTACAGACTGAGTTTTCAGAATTGTTCCCTCATCACTGGAGATCCTGATTATTCAGAATCAAAAAGGTCCTTTAAGAAATGCTTAAAGTTGGGCTTCTGTTAAATAAGATGGTCCCAAAAAGAGGCATTTTGTAAATGTAGCTCTGCTTAAAGGTGATTGCTTTCTGGATGCCCAGTGTGTTCTTGCACCTTGCTTTATTTTATGTTGCACTTGTTACGCAATCAGCAGGGCTCAAATGATTTGTGTTGTCTGTGAAGTATAGACCAGACTTGTCTGATACGATTTTTTGGTTTCATGTAGTACCTCCTATGGAAGATTGTAAGGAACAAGAGCCTGTGATGGACAACAATATTTCTCTGGTGCCTTTTGAGAGACCTGCTGTTATAGAGAAGCTGACAAGCAACATGGGAAAGCGTAAAAGCTCCACCCCACAGAAGTTTGTGGGTAAGCTTGAAATACGCCTTTTATTATTTTTAGTGCGTAGGTATAGGTTCCTTACTATTTGTAGTAGCCAGGAGAGCAAGGGGGAAAGTAGCGCTCTCAGGACTTGGTTGTGATGGGGAGGGAAAACAATGGAGATAGTTAAATCACAGTAAGAAATCCTGAAAATTACTGAATAAATTTTATCAACCCAGAGAATTCAAAAGTGAAGTTCCTGTAATCATGAAAATGCTTAGAAAATCTTGAGATTTTTACTGTGCTTTAAGACTGTTTGGGGTTTTTGTTTGCTTTTTTGTTTGCTTTTTTTTAAAAAAACTTTGGTGCTTTTGAGATTTAGACTTGTCGTATGCCTTCTCCTTGCCTCAGCAGAGAAAAAACTAAGAATCTCATATAAGTATCTATCTCCATATGTGTGTGTGTTTAAAAAAAAAAAAAGTATCTCAAGACTTGTATTAAATTCTCAAGAGTTGGCAACAACTGGTCTGATAATACCGACATGAGGAAGTAAAATCACATCAATTCTGTCAAAAGAACTGTTTGCTCCAAGTGCAGAGTTCTGCACACAATAAACTTATTAACATGTGAATATAAAAAAGCATTGGATGACTTTTATCAAATTTAGCTTCCTATGCCCAGAATTCATATTTTGCCTTTGTGTCTTGACATGTTCAAATTGTTCAGCTTATAACAAGAGACAATATGGGGAATTTTACTTGGTTTGAACTGTAGCTTAAGACTTCTTTTTATTGCTACTGTGGCAGTGCTAAACCTAAGAGGGGAGCTGGGACACAGAATTATTTGGGGTAAGCGTATGCTGCTGGACCCCAAAGTCACAGAATGCGCCTTTTCCATGCTCGCTCCCTGGAAGGACAGTTGTACAGAATTTAAGGGTGTCATATACTCATTCTCCCCACACTGAGGACACTTAGAGAGAGAGAATCAGAGAATGGTAAGCAATTAACACAGCCATTTAGAAAACTCATTGCCCCTCAGCTAAATGCAGATTGAGATGGGTTTGTTAAATCACCACGGAAGGTGGTTTTAAGCCTAACCCACATGGTTTTGAGTAGTAGGGGGCTAGCAGCATGCAGCAGCTCACCTGAGGGGTGACACACTGACCTGGCTGCTTGCAGTAACCTGACCATCCCCAAATATCAGTGCTTAGCCAAGGTCAGGTCAGGAACGATGCAACCCGCAGGAGGAACGCTGTGAGGCATCAGTATTTCCTATATTGTTATTAGTCCTTCTGAGGTAACAGCCTAATTCTTGGGCTGTTGTCTTCAAGAGTGTTCTGAAACGAATTACTGTACAGCTGATAGGAACTGGGGGGATTTATACTCTGATTTAATTTACTGCTGTGACAACAGCTGGGGTTGAAGAGGGTGGAAATGGGAGCAGGATTTCTGACAAGCCAAATACATCTTTATGAGATTGCAAACATGGCCTCATCATAGCAGGTTTCCCTAGTGCTGCCTCAGCAAGCGCTGTACATTCTTGCACATTGTGATCAACAATGAAATAGTTAACTATGCTTACACTTAATCTGGTGTCTCTAGATCTCAGAAATCTGACAGCTTCAAAAGAAGTTGCCATCCCTGGATGTGTTCAAGTGTCACTTAGATGTGGTGTTGGGCGATAGGGTTTAGGGGTGACCTTGCAGTGGAGGGTCAGTGGTTGGACTCGGTGATCCCAAGGGTCTTTTCCAACCTGAATTGTTCTATTATTCTATGATTCTATGAAAGAAAGGCAACTGGTGTCTCTCACTCTTCGCCCCCCCCAGCTTGTGCACAGAGTTGAACAGAGCTGTGTTTGCAGCACCTCGCGGAGGGTTAGCTTTGCAGGGGCTCCAGATTTAATCTGGAAAGGCTGAAGACCTAGCTCCCTTTCTCGAAATTCTTGTGTACCCATACTGCTCTCAGAGCAGTATAGTTTACTGATTATAATTATGCCCACTTTTTGGATGGTATAAATTGAATCATTTTCTGGAAACTGTAGATTATGGTCTCTTTTTTTTTCTTCAGACAAGGAAGATTATTTTACTTGTCCACTCGTGCACTTTACCATATGTTGTTATTATCTTCAAAGGCAAATTTACATCTGTAAATCCTTGCCTGAGATACACTGTAGCAGATTACTGTTTTCTTCAGTAGGGTATACTAATGTGTTGTTAGATAAACCTGTTTCTTCTATAGGTGGAACAGATCACTTTGGTGTTCCATTTTTCTGCAGATAGGAAGTCAGGGTTTCATGTGACATGCAGCTTTTTTATCCAGGTCCAGTAAAGTGTCCTCTTTCACAGTTACCATATCTTATTTTTCTGTCTTTTCTGATCTTTCATGGCATCACAGTGTTTGAACTGAAAAAAACAGCGCTCTCTACTTTGCTATTTTTCTTTTTTTTTTTCACCGTGACTTTACTTTTCTTCCCATTTTCTCCCCTATGAAATATTGTTCAACTCTATCAGGAAGAACTTGTAATGGTTCTTTTGCTTGCAGGAAATTTTCCTATGCATACTGCATGCGTGGCACCCGTCCAAAACAACTTAATGGTGTTTATGAGAAGGTCATGTAAGCATAAGCTAAAATCCTTGCATGCTACATCTATCAACGCTTTACTACTCTTTCTGATCAGCAGTCTCCAAGGGACCTTGGTTATGGACCACAATCTCTGCTCTGGCTGAAATTTCGGAAGGAAAGGAAGCAGCATATGGCAAATAGAGTTAATGTCTGACTGAGAGACTTGGTTATATATCTGCTGTTGAGATATTAGTCATACCAAACCTGTGGAAACAGTGGAGGCAGATGCACAGGAGTCTGAGTACTTCTTTTTGCCTCTACTTCGATGGATGGAGAGGCAGACAGGAGTGAAATTGAAAGCAGCCATCTTCAAGCTGATCACATGAAGCAGGTTCACATATTTTCAGTTTGAATTTGGTTTGAATTTTGTGCTACCTCTCACAGAGTTGTCACTAGGCTTAAGAGCTGGCAGGATACAAAAGAGACGTGGCTCACCATAAGACCGTGGTTGTTACAGTAGGAATGAAAAATATACCAGCATCTCAGAACAGAGGATGATGAACCAGCTTCAAAATTAGAGTCAACTTCTAGTTAATGGAGATCAGGAAGAAATTTACCCAATGGTAAATTCTCTAACAGCCTTCTCTAAGATTTTTTTACAGCTTTCTTAAAAGTGTCTGGCATTGCAGTCACTTTAGATACTTGATTAGATGGACTGCAGGTACCAGAGGACAGCTGTGTCTGTGTGCTTTGATCAAGCTTCAGATACTTGTTCTGAGGTATCAAACATCATATGATAAGATGACCACAGTGGAGAGTGTTTCTTCTTCTACTTCACTAACATGGGGCAAAAATAAATAGAATTTGAGCATAATTTTCCATGAAAATTGTTTTAAGTACAGATTTGGCTGAAGAGAAATTAAAATTGAAAACCACGGTGCACTGATTTGTTAATATTTCTTCTGAGCTCTGTGTTTTACCCTTCTCTTTACCATGTTATAGTTTATTTCACTTTCTTATGTCACACTTGATTTCCAAGGCACTGACGTCTCTGGAACCAGTTCATAAGTAAAAGAATTAATAATTCAGGTCACTGACAATTTACAGTTTTCTCCACTTTACTGTCTGTGGTGGAGTAACTACATGTGGAAGATAAAAGGATGCAAAACAAGGTTTGCATCATTCACCCAAGTAGTCCATAAAGGAGAGGTATTGTTTCTTGATCCATATAGCCTGCAAAGACCTGACGGTGTGTTTGGAGCCTGGATCAGGCGCTCACCAGTTTGTTATTCAAACACAGAAGCAACAGAGGTGGCTAGAGCAGGGACAAATAAACTTTTCCATTTTCACTTCTTTCTTCCCACTGTGCAGAAGACACCACATGCCTCCTGGAGTTGTCCTCCAGTCCCACTTTGGCTCCATCTTAGAAGGAACTGCTCAACTTTAGGTGAAGCTGGAGCCACCTCGCATTAAATAGTTTTCCATCCTGTCAGCAGCAGGACAGCCGTCACAGAAAACGTGACTGAGCAGCCCACAGCAGAAACAGGGAAAAGAGGATGTTCGATGGCCAGAATTATCCTTAGGTCATGTTAGATTACAAAGGCCATTGTTGTAGCACCGTTTGTTTCTTTGTTCCCTATTTTTCTCCTAATGTTTAACGTATAAAAAAGGAAGTTTTCAACATTATTCTTGCTTTTGGTGACGTATAAAATTAAGACAGACAGCCACAGGGAATTGTACATGAATATAGTGCCTAATCAGAAGCATGTAAGCAGTATTGCTCAAGAGTAGTGATACTCACACGCTTCACTTCAGACTTGCATTTAATTACCTTGCTAATCAAGGCTAAGTTCCCAACCAAAAATGATGCATCATCTCTAAGGATAACGTGATTGTTCCATGGGTAATGTAAAATTATTTCTCTCTTTATGCATCACTTTAAGATAAGCCACGCTAAGTGGAATGAATTATTATAGTCAAAAATAAAATGCTGAGTGATAGCTATGTTGAAATGTACTAACCCTGTTTGGAAGAGAGTTGGGATTACAGTTCTGTTACTTTCTTATGGTGGTTTATACATATTTTATTCCAAGCAATTTTGGCAAAAGGTGGTGTCTTGAGTTCTTTAATTCTTGGATAGCCAGACTGGTTGTATGTAGTCATTCCTTGAATTCATAAACTTGTACTGTTGGAGAAGAGTCTGGTTTTATGTACCGAGGCAGTGAAAAGTAACAAAGACAATGCAAACTGAGCAAAATTATTTATCGGACTTTGTAAATCAGCTTTAAAAGTTATCTGTCAACAACTAGCTAATATTTATGTGTGTGAGTACCTATGAGCATGTGTGTGAGTACCTATGAGCATGTATATCTTGCATCTTACATGTAGTTATAAACTTTTCTATTTAAAAAGAAGAATTATTTTATGACCTTTTCTTGTATGGGCACTCTAAAACCGTTACTGGAAAAGCAGTACTGCTGAGCTGAGCCCTGATGTAAGTAGCAGGAAATTTGTTAACTTCAAATGAGAGCTCCAATACATATCATGGCCTATGACTAGCATCATTTTCTGGCAAGTAGTGCTGGTTTCACACACCTGTACTGCCATAGATTTAAAAAGGTTGTAAGGATGTGAATTTGAATTCACGTAGTGATGAATCAGTCAACTTTGTAATCATTATGCATTAATTATCCTGTGTCAGTGAGAGTTGGTTTTGCCTTTTACCAAATGAAACTAAGCTGTACATGTGGTTTCTCTATTTTGTTTTCTTGCCTAAATAGACACTGTGTGGGTTTTGTTGTTTTTTTTTTTTCTCAGACCAAAACATTGGGATAGGATGATTTGGGTTTTTTTGAGAGGGAGAACTATAAAGATACTGTAGCTTGAGCGCATGATTACAAGCCAGCCCCTCAGTGCTCCTGTTCCTTCCTCTGTTCTGTGGCTTCATGCTCATGTGTTATATTTTTTATGCTGGTTGAAAGATTTACAGAAAGTGTCTCTAAAGGTGCCACCGTACCAATCCCATGTACCTGGTGCTTAAGCTTCGCTGTAAGATATGTATGATGCACCATGGACCGCGGGGCACGTGTGATACTGGCTCCTTTAATTTTGGGACAATTTGTCTAATGGTATAAAATGATGGAGCTTTACTGACCTCAGTGGTTCAATCCCATTTTCTACCACTTAGTAGTATGTATTTCCTAACTTGAAGCACGGGCACAGTCAGGCTCATCGGAACGTTTGGAATCGATCTGGAGGTTGCTGCAGCCATATGCTTCACCAGGAATAAAAAAAAAAAGCTGTTGGTGAGGTTTGAGTTTTGCCCATCACAGGACAGAAACTTTGTAGGAGGTCAGTAAACAAGTAGAAGAAGGTTGGCTTTGGAATGAACTTCACCCCTAGTCAGGGGTTTTCTGTCCCGCCTCACCCCTTTTACAGTGAAACCTTAGAATGATTACATGGATTGTTTTTCTCATTCATTTGCTCTTGTCCCTTAGGTGAAAAGCTCATGAGATTTGGCTATCCTGATATTCCCTTTGATATGAACCTAACGTATGAGAAGGAGGCTGAGATGATGCAGTCTCACATGATGGACCAAGCCATCAACAATGCAATCACCTACCTTGGAGCTGAGGCACTTCACCCCCTGATGCAGCACACACCAAGCACAATTGCAGAGGTGGCCCCGGTCATCAGCTCAGCTTACGCTCAGGTCTATCATCCTAACAGGATAGAAAGGCCCATTAGCAGGGAAACAGCTGACAGTCACGAGAACAACATGGATGGCCCGATCTCCCTCATCAGACCAAAGAGTCGAACCCAGGATAGAGAGGGCTCCCCCAGCAATAGCTGCCTGGATTCTACTGACTCAGAGAGCAGCCACGAAGACCGCCAGTCGTACCAAGGAAACTCTGCCTTAAATCCCAAGAGAAAGCCAAGCCCGGCTTATATGAAGGAGGACGCCAAGGCTTTGGATGCCACAAAAGCTCCTAAGGGCTCTTTAAAGGATATCTACAAGGTCATCAACGGGGAAGGGGAGCAGATTAGGGCTTTCAAGTGCGAGCACTGTCGCGTCCTTTTCCTGGACCATGTCATGTACACCATCCACATGGGCTGCCACGGCTACCGGGACCCACTAGAGTGCAACATCTGTGGCTACCGAAGCCAGGACCGCTATGAGTTCTCGTCGCACATAGTCCGAGGGGAGCACACATTCCACTAGGCCTTCTCATCCAAAGGGGACTTGTATGAAGTAGAAGAACTGCACATGAAGAAATACTGCACTTACAATCCCACTTTTCCTCAGACATTGAGACGCCTATTTTGTTGTTGTTGCTGTTGTTGTTGTTGCCGTTGTTTAATTATTATTATTAACCTTATTTTTTGTGGACCTAACCTCATTTGCTCTGCCCAGCTTAAGAATGGAAGGAAGGAAGGGAAGGGATAAAAGAGGGGTTTGTTGTCGCCGTCACTTTTTGGTGAGTGACTCGCCTCACTTTCTATGGGAATTGAAAGGCGGTCCGTTTCTGTCTCAATCAGCTGTACGTCATGTCCCATTTGGGGATACCGCTCAGCCCTGCTAGGTGCTTCAGAGTCCTGATGACATGCCACTCTTTTACAATTTCAGATAAACAGGTGGAAACATTTCAGAGAGAACCTTTATCGAATGTGTAGATATGGTGTGGGCTTTCGGTGGTGGTAGGAGAAGGGGGAACTACATTCTGCAGAATGAACAATTATTTTTAAAGCAAAAATATTAGGGATTTAGGAGCATGAATCAAAGTCGATATTCATTTCAAAATTATTTTCTAGGGTGAGCTGTTTTCCTGGGTTCAGTGTGTATTGTCCCTGTAGAATGTAAAAAAGAAAAAAAAAACCTATGTCTTAACACTGTACCACATTACAGCAGTTTAGTTTCATAAGTCTGAGGGCCTTCTGTGGTAAGTCTGAGGCTCTGTATTTTTATTTTCCTTAACTTATGAAGCACCTTTTTTAGAATTGTTGATTTGCTGTTACTCCATGCCCATGTGTTGACTCACTGGCTTCTTAGAGACCCTTGGGAGCCTTACTTATTTAGTTGCATCCTATGTTTTAAGAAATAACATTTAGAAATAACATTTAAACTTGCTTCTAGGACAGTAAGTGGCCTAGGAGTGGATGAGAGGGTCTGTAGTTTACTCAAGAGGTTCTGCTGCTCTTCTGAAATAATTTGGTTTAGAATTACGGATTTTCAAATTACAAAAGTACTAGTAGCAAAGTGTTCTTTAAATATAGGTATATCTAGTTAGATAATTATATAAATACTTTCTCATTCTCTTATCATAGTGTTAACCTCTTGGCAACCGCCTAAACCAAGACTTGCAGCTGGGAAAACGCTAGGAGCCAGATCCCTGGTCAGCATTAACCCTCTTAGCTCCATTGAATTTGATGGAACTACCCCAACTACTTCAGCTACATCAGGATCCGAGCCTTGACCATTTTTTTTTCTCTTGTTGACAGTTTATTTGCTGATTTGCTGGACCAGTGACTTCCTTTTGGTGTCAAGTCATCAATTCTACTCTAATTTAGTCTTGGAAGTGTTTGCAGGTTTTGCTGGATAGCCTTTGCTCTTGGAGAGCACAGAAGCCCTGCAAATGAATAAATCACATGTGACCTTCCACACTGCTTCACAAAGTGATACATGGAGGTTCAGGTGCTGTGCTTTGATCTGTATTTACAAATTTCGTTTTTTATTCTAAATTTATTCAATTCGCTATAGGGAAAACAAATGGAGAAACAGACTCCATAGCAAGTCCTTGAACTACAGACTGGACAAGAAAAAAACAAACCACCGATCTGTTTTGTTTCCTTTCTTTCTCTCCCAATAAATAACAAAGTCAGCAACCACCCAGCAAGTTGCAGGTTGCATCAGTAAAAAATGGGCTTAAACGTACGTGACAGATTGCCATTGAAACCCAACTGTTTGTACCAATCACAATTGAAATGTTGTTGTTTGGCAACAAGAGCACAGCTTGAGAATGGAAAGATCTGCATGGGTTTAACCCCCTCCATGCACACCATCGCCATGCACTTGGTGAGACCTTTTCCAAAGTGTAAAGTTACTGAAGTATAAAAGAGAGAGCAAGATCAGGCCATAATGAGTTCCCATCTGCTCGCTTCAATCTGCATACTTGATGTATGTGCCAGTTTGCTGTTCGTTTTGAGGGTACTGGGTTTTTTTCCTTCTCCTCCTAGACCTGGAGCATTTGAAAGTAGGAGCTGAGTGGTATTGATTGAAATCTTTTTATGGTGACATTCTTGGCAGCTAGAACCTGTGTTTAGAAAGGATACAGTAGATCATGGCCAGATTACCCGATGACTTCTTCCCAGCACTGAAATGCTATTAAGTAGGAGCTGGTAAAGTCTTGCAGTACCCTATTAATTATAATACAATATGGAGAGAAATGTCATCTTGTGTAATGTGAGAGCTATCAAGGCTGGGAATATACAGACTTTGGAGAGACAGATTTAAAGACCTATTCCCAACATTGTTCTTAATGTTGCTGGGTTCCTCCCCCTCCTCCTTTCCTCATCTTAATGTAGAGGAAACTCAGGCAAATGAACTGCTGCCGTCCTCCAGACCATTCATATTTTTTTGTCCTTGGTGCAGTCATAGGAGTTGATGCGGGAGGAAACCGAGGAGATGCTGGAGGGCATCACTTCTGTTCCAGATGGCTGATTCTCTGCAGCTATGAAGGCTGGCTTAGGAGGTGGCCGACCACGTTCTGCATCACAGTGTGCTTCGAAACACAGAAAGGGGGGTTGCTTTTACAGCATGCTACCAGGAGGAAAAAAATAAAATAAAGAAAAAAAACATGAAAAAAACCCAAACAAAACAAAAAACCAGTGGTAGTGATTTCTGCTGAGGCAGGAAAGGTCTTTAAAGGACAATGTGCAAAGGTGCTGGGCCTGAAGGTCTCTAGGCCTTCAGGGGCCTCCAGAAAGACACGTGCCTGAGCGGAGAGCAAAGGGTTGCCGGCAATCCCTTTTGGTCTCGGAGGAGCAACACTCCCTTTTCCCCTCTGTGATCAGTGGAAATAACACGGGCTATGATTTATTGTAATAGTTAGCACTAGGGAAAATGCATTTCAAAAAATCTGACTGTGTTTGGGAAAGCACTGGAATACGGGAAAGGCAAAGAATCTCTTGTGTATCCACAACTAGGTTGGCTGCAATTATATCTGCAGTTCATTAGTGTGCACTTTCATTCATTGATACCTCCTGTATATTCTGTAGATGTTTAAAAGATCAGATGGGGATGCTCGGTGGTTTTGTAGCTGGCTTCAGTTAAGCCCAACTTCTTGTTCCAGTGGTAGCATGTGAGATCTGTATGAGCACGGCCATGCCCTGTTATCACAGGCACGAGGCAGCGGGGAGACACGTTGATTTAGTTATCTTCCAACAGCTGCAATTTTTGGAGGGCAAGAAGCTAGGGGGTTGCATTAATTTTTATTATCACTGTCCTTTTTCTGAATGCTTACTGAGGTTTTTCATCCTAGAGCTAGGGAAGGGAGAAAGATTAAGATTTAGTTCAAATGTTGAACGAAGTTTAGGATGAGCATTTATTTTAGCATTCACTTCCTACTGAAAATTATTGGACAGTTTTGTATAAAGCAGTTTGCCCTTACACGGAAGTGTGCAAAACGGGGCCTCACAGATTTTGGTTTTTTCTTGACTATTCTCTGCAGATTTCTAAGAAAAGCTCTCGAGTTTTGTTGAGCTCATTAGTTGTTCACAGTGTACTAGGAATTTCAGTAGATAATCCTTGGCCTGCGGATCCATTTGTTCTAAGTATTTGCTGTTGGAAATTGAACCTGGCTGATTTTTATTGGTCTCTCTTAAAATTCTTGGAATTAGGTTTCCAGTTAAAAACATGCATTTGCAAATTTAGAATTGGCTTCCTGTGAACATTCCCCATTTTCATTTAAAAAAAAGCCATTTCTTCACATATCTCTGCCAGTAAACCCTTTTGCTTTGTTTTACATCAAAAATGGCAAGATTCTGACTCAATTTAGGATATTACAAGCCTATTAATTGAAATAGAAGTGTCACTGCTTATTCTGTTCTTGGTGTGATCCATATTCTTGAAGCAAAGGGCATTATCCATATATCTGCTGTTACGGCCAATAAATTTTACAGCCGCCTCTCTTTGCAATCAGTTAGGAGTGCACATCAAAATATATAGCATTTTTCAGTAAAGTGAGCGCTTTACTCAGTGACTTATGGGATTAAAACAATTTTATTCTCCTTAAAAAGTGCTTCCATCTACAGTATGATGTGAAAGGTGTCCAGGCATTAACCTTTATTGGTCTATATTTGAGAGAAAGGATCTGATTCGTTAACTGGCCTGATTTTTTAATGGTAGTAGTTTCTACAATGAAAGGACAGAGCTCACAAAATAACTATGTGGAATTAAATTTAGTAAATTTTAAGAGTTTCCAAATTTCTTTCTGTTTACAAGGGCATTCCTAAATTGGGGCTGTCAAGTGGAAGAGGAGGCCAGGAATTAGACCAAACCGTTCAAAACTGGCCTTTAATAGGACATTGTTAATATTGGCTTGGTCCCGAGCTAACTTTCTCATATTTGAAAGAAGCCAGACAACAGACACTTCTTCCTCCAGAAAGAAACTTTGGAGATAATTTAGGGAAAGGTGCTTATTTCAGCCAAGGACAAGAGCCTCAGTAATATGGTTCTTTTGCTAAATGATGTTCCTTTCCTTAACTCTTCACTGTGCGTTATAAGTACTGAGGAGAAAGAAAGGAGGCTTCACTGATACCTGGGTCACCTAAACTCAGTGTGAGATTTTAGGAAAACTGTGATGAGATTGGATTTGAGGCTAGAAATTTGCATCTTGGCTTGACTTAATATCATTTAAAAAAAAAAAAAAGGGATGATAGTAATGGTCTATGGTCTGGGGCAGCTGGAGATTTTGAGAAAGTATATTTATATATATATGGTATTGTATAATTAGATATATGCTTTATTGTATATGTGCCTTTTTCAAATGCATTTTGGAAGTTTGTGATGTCGTTCATGATATCCTACCGTACCCTTTCAGAATGCACGACAGAAACCAACCCAAAGTACACATCCCTTCTCCTCTGGTGTAGTGAGGCTGATCCCGCTCCCCTTCTGCACCCTCCTTGGCAGCCTGACCTGGAGAAAGGACCGTCTCAGTACTTTGCTGTGAGATTTCCTGGAGTCAGCTGGCTTTTGGGAGTGAGAAGGGCTGAAAATTACCCTGGCAAAGTGCATTCCAACTCTCCAGCCAGAGCTGGTCTCAGAGCTAATCCCAACCAACACAGCGTCCCCAGAACGGTGCCGAGGCTACACCGTGCCCCATAAGAGTGCCAGGCAGCCGTCCCCTTTTTTCTTCCCCTCCGCAGGTTTAAGTAAAGCATGCTTTAAAATGGACTTTGCTTTTAAGTTCCCACTTAAGAGCTGATGCAGACTTAAAAGCATCTGCCACTT